TTTGGGCCATCCTCAACTGCTTTCCCAGGCCACAAGCAGGGAGCTGGATGGGAAATGGGGCAGCCAGGATTAGAACCAGCACCCATATGGAATCCCAGCACATTCCAGGTGAGGACTTAAGCTGCTAGACCACCGCTTCGGGCCCGCCTTCATAGTTTTTAAGGAAGAGCAATTGTAGTTAAAGTAGTAACCTGGAATTTCTTTTATCCCCTCCACTCCTGTTTCTCCCCACCCCCTGTGGGGCTTAGTTAGGTCACGAAATTGGAAATTTATTTCTTTTCCAGAATTGTTTTTGGTAGATTTGTGAAAGGAGAGTAACATTTTTCATGGTATTACAGGATGAAGTCCACTCTTAAAATTAAGGCAAACTCTTTAATTCAAAATTTTAACTTAATGCTCTTACTGCGTTTAAGCAAATTGAGACAGTTTATTTTGGCATTCTCATAAAATGGATGAAAGGAGCTGCTAGAAGAACTATGTCCTCTTGGGAATTTTCACCACATTTCTAATCTTCCTTTGTGTCAGGTCACTCATTATTTCCAATTTGGAATTGCTAAACAGAAGTTGAAATATGGAGCTGGCGCAATGGCCCAACTGGCTAATTCTCTGCCTGCAGGCACCAGCATTCCATGTGGATACCAGTTTATGTCCCGGCTGCTCTACTTCCAACTCCCTGCTTGTGGCCTGGGAAAGCAGTAGAGGATGGCCCAAAGCCTTGGGACCCTGAGCCTGCATGGGATACCAGGAAGAAGCTTCTGGCTTTAGATCAGCTCCAGCTCTGGTCATTGCAGCCCTTTAGGGAGTGAACCAGGGGATGGAAGATCTTTGTCCCTCCTTCTCTATGTAAATTCACCTTTCCATTAAAAATAAAAATAAATCTTTATTTAAAAAAAACAAAAAGAAGATGATGAAATTGAATGAGGGATTGAGGGGGGTGGTATTGCTGTTTACGCCAACGTAGAGAAAAACTTAGAACTTTTTAGTATTTGCTTAACTTACAGGTGCATCTAGCATCTTAACTTGAATGAAATGTCCCTTGTATTTATATAATTCTTAAGTCTCATGTTAATGTTGGTAATAATTTGGGGGGGGGAGCCTGGTGTGCGATAGCGTAATGGTTAAAGTCCTCGCCTTGCATGCGCTGGGATCCCATATGGGCGCTGGTTCTAATCCAGGCAGTCCCACTTCCCATCCAGCTCCCTGCTTGTGGCCTGGGAAAGCAGTCAAGGAAGCCCGATGCTTGGGATCCTGCACCCACATGGGAGACCTGGAAGAGCTCCTGGTTCCTGGCTTCAGATTGGCTCAGCTCCAGCTGTTGCTGCCGTTTGGGGAGTGAATCATTGGACGGAAGATCTTCCTCTCTGTTTCTCCTCTTCTCAGTATATCCGCCTTTCCAATAAATAAATAAATAAATAAATCTTTTTAAATAATTATTATTTTTATAATTTAATAATTTTAAAATTTAATAATTATTATTTTAAAAGAGTTATTTATTTATTTATTGGAAAGTCAGATACACAGACAGGGAGGTCTTCCATCTGTTGATTCACTCCCTCTTGATTCGCTCCACTGCTTTCCCAGAGTATGAAGAGGGAATTGGATTAGATGTGGACATGAACTGATGCCCATATAGGATGCCTGCAGCAGCGACGGAGGATTAACTCGATATGCCACCACACCAGCCCCCTCAAACATAATTTCTTTCCTCTTTTTGCCCAGACTTAACTCCTTTCTAGCCCCTGAGCTGCCTCCTTAACTTGCCGAGAGATCTGCCAAGTGTTTGTTCACTTCCTCGGCTGCACTGCCACTGACCCCTGCCCTCACTCCAGCATCACACACACTCCCCACTTTCTCTTCCTCCCTTAGGTGCTCATTTCTCTTTGAAGAGTTCTTATTTACCTGTCTCCTCTAGCTGATTACAGAAGGTCTGTGTCTTACTGTTTAAACGCAACCCATTGTACGCTTGTTTGTTTGGTGCTTGAATTTCTATTGCACAAATTTGGTAACCACTGCAAAATAAATAGTCAAGATGGAAAGAGAAGAACTTAAATAGGCTCAGCCTTTGACAACAGTAATTAAAGTTACAGTGTAGAGCAGGAGTTTTGTTGTTGTTGAAAGAGAACATTTTGTAGCTGAAAGGGAACGAGAACCATGTCAGTAATCCAGAGATGACCAACATTTTTCTAATAACGGCGAGGAATTTGTAGGTACGGTGGCTTGATTAACTTCTTTTCTGTCATCTTCATTGAAAAGTTGCCTGGCATTGGCAGAGTGTTTTACCAGAAGGTAGACACGCAAGTACAGTGGCTTCATTATTTTGAATGTTTATTTGTATGAGATTTTTTTTTTAAATGCCAATTCCCATTTCATTTTTTAACAAACTACCTCTACCTGTCAGGTGTCTGAGTTAGTGCCTCAGCTTTCATAGACTTGTGAATAAATGAACACTTTTAATCCAGGATCTCCACGTTGCATATAAACCTTCTTAAGCGTCATGGAATTATTATTAAACTTCACAGAAGCATAACTGGTTTGTAGAAGGGTGGAGATAGATTTAAAAGCCAAATTTTTTTAAGGAATTCAAGGAATGAAACTTATTAGAGATGCTAGGTCGAAACAAGATTTCTCTGTTTGTAAGTATATTAAATGAAAAACTGATGTCTGAATCACATCTTAAAATATCCTATACATTTTACTTAAAATATTAAAATAATTTTTCCTTGCAGTATATGAGACAACTATACTGCTTTCTTTACTTACAGTGTTTGTGGTTAAACTGTGTATCAAGTGGGAAGTGACATTGATAGGGATTAGGTGAAAATGTATTCAAAAGAAAATAGCCCAAGTTTCAAGTCTTTTTTTATAAATATTGTCCTCTGTATAATATGGTATAATCTTATGTCTATTTAATTTAAAAACGATTTTAAGGCAAGATCCAACTAAAGTTCAATTTGGAAATGTTAAATTTTGTTCTTTCAAACCTGAAGCATATGTTTCTAATACTTTAGTTAAAATATGCTGAGTTGTATATTTTTGAAGAGAATCTGTTTTGAAAAGATTCCAAAATATTTGTTTGAACAGGCACTCAGCATCTTGATGAAAACTGTTGGAAAAGAAAATCTTTCAGAGTCATTCCGTTCTCCCTGCCAGCTAAACTGCTAGAGTTAACACTTCTGTAAGGGAACAGGAGCCAGGGTATTTACCACTTCCTGGACTGCTTTTCAGCAGGCCTTCAGACCAGCTTAGTGGTTGATAGTAATACCATTGGCTTTTCAGAGTGAAAAACTTAAAGGTAGAACGTCTACATCTCTTTCTCTCAATATTGTTGTAGCAGTCTCAGTTATCCAAGATTAACTGCAATTTCTGCCTTATGTTAGCGTTAATGTTGTATTTCTATCTGGAGTTTTGTGAGTTGCTCTTCTTGCCAAGTGAGAATGCCCCATAGAAAATGGTCCCAGGTATGATTAAAACATCTCCCAAATATAAATACTTTCACATTTCTTCTTCTTCTTCTTCTTCTTTTTTTTTTTTTTTTTTTTTTTTTTTTTTTTGGACCACTGAATGTCACAGTAAAGATACATATTAGGTATGACATCCTAATGCTTTGGGAAGATTGGCAGTTATATTAGGCTACCAGATTTATAGTTAAGGATTATTTATTCAGTCTCTGACCCATTCATTTTCATTATGTCCTCTCCCAGTATGTTGACACTATGTAATGCATTTAGCAGTGATATGCTTAATATATATAGTCTCTCCCCATATTTGCTCTTGTAATTGCACTACTTATATATTTGTTGAGTTAAACTAGACAGTATGTACCATATTTAGCTATTGTGGTAGAGAATATAACCTAAAGACTCAGATTCTGTATGCTAACTACAGAGACAAGGCTAGATTTAAGATCTGTGCTACCAGTTATTGAATATCATGGAGCTAGTTTGGAAAGCAGCAGAAATTAAATTTTCATCCACTTGGTTTTCCAAGTCCTTCTCACAAGATTAGATTAACAGTGTCTCCAGAAATGATTGCCATACCTTAATATCTTTAAAGCTTCTTTCAAAACCCTAAGTATACAAGAGCTGTATGGAACCCATCATAAATGCTTGATTTGTTTCTTTGTTGTTTAGAACTGTGTATGATCTGAAATGGGAAATTACCCACAGATTGGGATGGCTTCAGAGGGTATGAGTGCCAGCAGAGGAATGCAGTGTTTTGTGCAAATCTGCCTTTCCATTGGGATAGTATATTACTGGAAGCTTAAAAAGCAAATGAAAAAAATTACAGGAAGAACTGAAGGAGGTTGGTAACTGAAAATGAGGATTGATAACCAGAGCCTACCGTTTATCAAGCTACAGTCTTAGGAAGCAGTGTATACATGAATATGGGTACTGAAATCCAAGAGAAGTTGAACAAGACAAAGCCTTCCTAATGTCCTGTGTCCCATTTGATGCTATTTTGATTAATTTCCACAAGGGAGATGGTTGAGATCTCTAACTTTTAGGACATGAACCAAGAGATAGGAATTCTGTTTGTCATAGGAAATCATTCTGGCCCTTAAGAATTCTTTAACAGAAGGACTTTTTTTTTGTCTGTGATTTCTCTGCTTTAGTGCCAAAAACTTTCTGGAAGACTATTCAAAGCTGTCTGTGTTTAAGTTTCATTGTTGGAAAGTGACAGCTGCTGAATTTTTTTCTTTTGCTGTGTTTCTTTTAATAACTGATTTAAGCCCTTACTGTTATGTCCCTCTATTGCTAAGTTCCTTAGGATTAAAAAAAAATGAATAAAAGTATGTTTAAAGCCAAAGTTTGAAGAGACAAAAGTGATTAGAATAACACTTCCTTTGTAACGTTTTCTTTTCCCACCAAAAGTGAGAGGTTGAATGCCCTGTCTTTGTGCATCCCATCTGTAATGAAGGGACAAGAAGTTATTTTCTTCAGTGGCTGACTTCCAAAATTTTTGTCCGAACGTTTTTGTCAAGTGTATCTTCTCTTCTCTAGGCCTTTCTATATAGAGCCCACAAACATCGTTAATGTGAATGATGTCATTCAGAGGGTTAGCGACCATGCCTCTGCGATGAACAAGAGGATTCATTACTACAGCCGGCTCTCCACTCCTGCAGACAAGGCGCTGGTAAGAGGCAAAGCATTACTAATTGTCTAAGGGTCAGTTGCAGTGAGCAACATACGCAAGGGCAACTCCCAGTAATTTAGCTTTTTGCGGGCAATATTCCAAAGACAGTATTCTGTAAAGTCAAAGATGGTGATTAACTAACACCCTGCATCTCAGGCTGGTTCATACCTGCCCAGCCTAGCATGAGGATGCTTGGGACACGCTCTGTTGACAGCAGGCGAGACATGTTTTTGGATTAAGTTCTGCTAATCCCAAATCCCAAGAACTCGACTTTTGTAGCATCAGATGGATCATTGATTAAAAACATAAATAAGAATTTTCTTATTGTGTTCAGTTCTGAAGTCTGAAGTTGCAAGAAAAGAATATTCATAAATATTTGCTACAGAAGTGGGAAACTGGAATTTGTACATGCATATATTCAGGTGTTTGGGGAAGTGGCTTTTTTTTTTAAAAGATTTATTTATGTGAAATGTAATGTCACAGGAGGATGAGGGGAGGTATCCACTGGTTCACTCCCCAAATAGAATAGCAGGTGTTGCACCAGGGGCTTCATCCAGACCTCCCAACTACGTACAGGAGCCGGGGACATGGGCTGTCTGCTTCTACTTTATCAGGCACATTAGCAGGGAGCTGGATTGGAAGTGGAGCAGCAAGGACTCAAACTGGTGCCCATATTGGATGCTGGCATTGCAGGCAGTGGCTTAAACCATTAATACCACGATGCCCACCCTGGTTCATTTTGTTTTATAACTTGTTAAAAATAAATTGTTAAAAAAAATTCTTAGAAAAAAAGACTGTAAATGATCATGGGTAATAGTTTGTTGAATGTTATGCTTCTAAAATCTGTATGATTTTGTTTTAGGAAACCAGATATATGTAAGTAATTTTGTAGCTAATGAAAATTCTCACATCTGTAGTACTAGAAAACCTGAGAACTTAAATAATCACAGAAAACATTCTGAGGGGATAAAAGTGTCCTTTTAGATGTTAAAAGCAGAGAAAGGAGCCAGAGCAAAGCTGTTCCATTTAACCCTCACCATAACTACCAGAAGTACTAATATCTCCTTTGGATCTGTTGGTGAGTGCGTCAGTTGCGGTATGATTGTGCCTCTCAATGCTTCTGCTTTATTCACACACACTCAGCCCTGGCCTCCTGAGCCTCTTAGTCTCAGAGAATACACCCTGAGGCTACCTCATTTACTTTATGTTCCTTGGAGGGAATGCAAAGGAGGGAGGATGAGGCAGTCATCTCTGAGTCCTGAGTGGCATCAGAGTGGTACTGGGCTCTCTTGGGCTCCAGCTTGGAGCACTTAAAAGCGTCTTTTCCTGTCTCGTCCTTCTATGAGTTAGTTAAGAGCAATTGCTTGACAGGGTCCCTTCTTAGGCCCATTTTCTTGGCTCAGTGCTTGTTGCTGATTGGCTGGCCTTTAGTCTCTCTCCTGTCTCCTTACAGACTACCTGGAGGGACAGGCGGCTGGTGAATGTTATCTTACAATATGCACTCCTAGGCCAGTCCTAATGTGTCACTTAGTATCGTTTACTCTAAGGGGGAAAGTTACATACAACTTGACATTGTATTCTGTTAACTAATATTTTATACTTCACAAGTGGAGGGGATTACACATAATTCTATCTTTAATAAGTACATTATTGTGCTCATCAAAAATATGCTGGACAGGGTTGTTATTTCCCAGTTGTTTTGTCTTTTGTTTCCTCTGTGTGCCATTGTGTTAGTAGTTGTGGTAAAGTCTTAGTTCTGTTACAAAGTCATCTAGATGCTGTGGGGAACAGAGGGGATCGAGTGTCTCATGGTCTACTTCAGACTTTCTAGAAACTCTGTACTCTCATCTGAGCCCACATTGTTTGCCTGTGCATTGTGCACCAAGTTGAATCCCTTTTGTTAATTGTCACTGAGATGACAATTATATAAATGTATATGTGTGTGTGTGTGTGTGTGTGTGTATATATAAACACTGGTCTAAAATTAGCAGTGTGATAGAACTATTTTTACAAATACATTTGTACAGTCCACTTCCATTTATGAACACTCTCAAATTGTTTTTCTTAAAAGATTTTTAAGGGAAGAACATTATGCAACACAAACCTCAGATGTTCATCTAGCTAAACTCTTCCAAAAAGTTTGTTATTTTCATCTACTTGGAATGCAGAGTAACAGAGAGGGATTGTGATCTTTTGGAGAGATGTTTCATCTGTTGGTTTATCGCCCCGACCCACAATCCTGCAGCAGCTATGGCTGAGCCAGGCTCAAGCCAGGAGCTTGGAACATTATCCTTGTCTTTCGTGTGGATGGCAGGAGACAAAAAGCTCCATCCGTCCTCCCCTGACTCCTAGGATATGTTTGTGGGAAGGTGGGTTGGAAGCAGAGGAGCCAGAACTGGAACTGGCTTCCAGGATGCTACATAGGTGTCCTATGGGGCCACAATATGCTCCTCAATGTTCTTGTTTATTCTAATATAGGAAAGAGAAGGGAAAAAAACTATTTGACTATCAACATCTTCCTGATACGTAACCAGCAAAAATATGACCGGCACTGGCCAGCAGCGTCAATATTACTAAATGCTTAATAGACATGTCATATCTTGGGCTTCACTCTGTAGTTACTGAATCAAAACTGGAATGTGGACAAGATCCCTGTGTGAGTCATAGGGACACTCAGGATGGAAAGTGGTGCCCTCATCTACTGCCACCGTGGGAGCCAGTGTTTCAGTTTTCTTTGTATCTCCTTATCTTCTAATCCTGTTCCAAATAATTTCCAACTTCATTTTTCTAAATTTGCTTTGTAAACTGTATTGCTTTTCTCCTGCCTGAAACAGACATGATCTTGTCTCCCCAAAACTTCTGAAACCACCCTTCCACACTAATTCAGTGATCACTTCATTCTTGAACTTCCCTTCACCTAACGCCAGAATCTTTTCTAACTAGAACCTTTGCTGGCATTTTTTCCTTTTTCATGAACAGGAGAGAAAAGTATTTTGACAGTTGCATAGTCTAAGAATTCATTCTCTTATCAGGGCAGTTTGTTGTGTTAATGGCTTTTAAACTCTTGCTCTTAGATCTCTCACCATGCTAGTCAGGGATTCATGCTGTTTATTCCTAAATTTTAGAATTATCCGGAGTCAAGTGTTCCAATGTGTTGAAAGTACTCTATTTTGCACACATAGTGACGCTGCAAATTCTGCTGCTTTTTTTTTTTTAACCAGATTGCCCCTGATCATGTAGTTCCAGCTCCAGAAGAGTGTTATGTATACAGTCCCTTAGGATCAGCTTACAAACTTCAAAGCTACTCTGAAGGACATGGTAAAAACACCAGTTTAGTAACCATGTGAGTATAACTGCTTTGTGAAACATGATTTAAACTGTATGTGAATGAAAATTGCTGGTTGTTTGACTTTTTGCCATAGTTAAAACATATGAAGAATCAAGCTCCATTATTTTTACCACTAACTACTTTGTATTTGCAGTTTTATGATTTGGAATACCATGATGGGAACATCTATACTAAGTATTCCTTGGGGCATAAAACAGGTAATATACTTTTTTGACATGCTTTATGCCTGATTTTTTTTTCTTCTTATAACTTTAAAATCAGATTTTAATAAATCTGTGTAAGATTAAGGGGGGGAAGTGATTATGTTTAGTTAGTTTTCTGTTGCTTGTTAGCATAACATACTATGGATTGCCTGTGTGTTTTTTCTTACATGATGATATGTGTTGTGCTCTGTTTTTGTTTTTAAACAGGCTGGATTTACTACTGGAATGTGTGTCATCATACTGATGGGAGTTTTAACACTTTATTGCTGCTACAGAGTAGTGAAATCACGGACTATGATATGTAAGAATTTGACAGAGGGTGGAAATAGATTAGTGATACGAGTATTAATAAGTACTTCCTTTGGGGCAGATTCAGTGTGTATTCCACATCTGTGTCAGCTGTCAAATATGTAGCTGAAGATTGATTTCTCTAATTTACAACTTTCGACTGAGTTGATCTGTTCAGTAGTTGCCACTTTTGAAGTTCAGAATCTGCGAATTCTTTGTAGAATGCGTTCACACTGGTACTTGTTTTCATAAGAAAAGAAAAATGCTATGTCTTCATAATGACATCTTTGCCAGAGCTAAACTGAGAATTTGATGCTTTGTTATCAGTTCGTGATGACTTGTTTTGACCTATCCATACCAAAAGACCTAAGTGCTGGAATCTCTTGCAAGTAGACATTTTAACTAGAAAAATATGAAAATATAAGCACATCTTTTGCAGTGAATTCTTAAAGTTTTATGAACACATTACCTCTCCTCATCTCTATAAATTCTACATCAGGAAAATGTATCTTTTTAGGTGCTTTTGAGACAGTTTGGAGTTTGGGACATAAATAGAGAGACATCATTTCATTAAGGATTAATCAACCAACTAGGCTTTGCCTCCAGCATTTTCTGTCTTATTAAGAAATTTCCTTTTTATTTTATACAAATATAATGTTAGTCAAAATTCTGGAAGGAAAATTCATTCTGGTTTCTAAATAACAAAAGAGACTTAAAAAATGTTGGTTTGTAAAAACAAAATATAAGCCCAGCATTATGGCTCTATTGGCTAATCCTCCCCTTGCAAATACCATCATATCATATAGGTACCAGTTCATGTCCTGGCTGCTCCACTTCCCCTCCACCTCCCTGCTTATGACCTGGGAAAGCAGTAGATGATGACCCAAAGCCATGGGACCTTGCACCAGAGTGGGAGACCCGGAAGAAGTTCCTGGCTCCTGGCTTTGAATTGGCTCCTCTCCAGCTGTTGAGGCCATTTGGGGAGTGAACCAGAGGGTGGAAGTTCTTTGTCTCTCCTTCTCTCTGAAAATTCTGCCTTTCCAATTAAAATAAACAAAAAAGGCAGAGAGAAGAGAAACAAACACAGAGATTTCTTCCTGGCTCACATTTCAAATGCCCTCAAGAGTCAGATGTGGACCAGGCCACAGCCAGGAGCAGGGAGCTCCATCCAGGCATCCAACAACTCAATCCACTGTGGTTACCTCCCACAGTGTCCACTAGCAGGAAGCAGAGCCAGAACTCAAACTCAGGCACTCAGATAAGTGATGCAGGTACCCCAGGAGGGGTTTAAACTGCCACATCAAATGCTCACATTAGGGGCTGCCTGGCATTGTGATACAGTGGATTAAGCCACTACCTACAATCCTGGCAATTCTGGAGCCTGGTAGAGTATCCTAACTGCTAAAGTCCTGATCCTACAAGCACCAGGATCCCATATGGATGCTGTTTGTATCCCAGCAGCCTTGCTTCCCATCCAGCTCCCTGCTTGTGGCCTGGGAAACCAGTTGAGCATGGGCCAAAGTCTTGGGACCCTACACCCACGTGGGAGACACAGAAGAAACTCCTGGTTCCTGGCTTTGGATTGGTGCAGCTCCAGCCATTGCAGCCACTTAGGGAGTGAATCATCAGATGGAAGCTATTCTTCTCTATTTCTCCTCCTTTCTGTAAATGTGACTTTCCAATAATAAATAAATAAATCTTAAAAAGAGATACAGGCAATTCCATATTGGAGTACCAGTTCATATCTTTGCTGTTTCATTTGCAATTCAGTTTTCTACTAACATGCCTGGGAGGGCAGCTAATTCTCTGTCATGCTTGGTTCCACATGGGTGCTGGTTTGAGCTCTGGTTGCTCCACTTGTAACCCAGCTGCCTGTTAATGGACCTGGGAAAACAGCAGAAAATGACCAGGAGCTTGGGCCCCTGCTCCCAGGTGGGAGACACCGAAGAGGCTCCTGCTTCTCAGCTTCAGAGCAGCCCGACTCTGGCCGTTGTGGCCATTTGGGGAGTAAACCAGCAGGTGGTAGATTTCTCAACTCTCTCCCTCAAAGAGAGAAAACACGTCTTCTAAAAAATCTGTCGCTGAAAATGTTTTATAGAGAAATTTTCTATCTATATTTTTTTCTTTTTTGATGCTGTCAGGATTCATGCTAGGCTTGTGTTCCCTTTGTAAGATGTGGAAAAGTTTTAAGTACCAAGGGAGCTATCTGTTCTTTAACAGTTCTTCAGAGGACTCAGTGGAGGCTATGTCTTCATTTTAAGAAATACTGAACTAGATAGGATTCATACTTACTATGTGATATTTAAAGAGTTCTTGAAAGTTCAGTCACATTTTGCCTTTTTTTCCCCTTTTATTCATGTTTATTGGAAAGGCAGATGTATAGAGAGAAGGAAAGACAGAGAGAAAGATCGTCCTCTGGTTGACTCACCAAAGGGCTGCAACAGCAGGAGTTGAACTGATCTGAAGCCAGAAGCTTGGGCTTCCCATGTGATGTAGGGTCCCAAGGCTTTGAGTCATCCCCCTTGCTTTCCCAAGTCACAAGGAGGGAGCTGGATGGGAAGTGGAGCATCCAAGACATGAACTAGTACCTATATGGGAGGGTGACACTTGATATCCTACATCTAAAATAAGGTTTATTCTATAATACAAGAATGTTTAATTATCAGTAAGCATGAAATGATTCACTGCATTAACAAATGGTAATTGCCATAATTGTATTGGTAGATACAAAGAATGAAGTTAAGAACTTAAAGATTATGAGAAATTAAATGCAAAATCTAAACTGTATTTTAGAAAGGAAAGGAGGCTGTGGACCTTAGGTACTAAAGCAAGTGAGCCATCTAGCAAGCATAATGCTAGGCCTGGATTGCTTACCAGTGAAAAACAGCACAAAAAATAGTAAAATATAAAAACAAATTGATGTTTTAGAGATCCTGGAAAAAATGTTTTAACCAAGCTCAAAACTGTAAGGCATCCCTTTCTTTAAGTTTGCGATTGTTTACTGTGGAATGGTTCAGAGTATCAGTTGTTTTTAATGGAACAGAACTGATAGCAAGAAAATGTGATTTGGATTCCAAAGTTCTTGCTTTAATAAAAATTCCACAGAGTGAGAAAACAAGACTTACCATGTGTTCGTGATTAAAAGCAACACATATTAAACATATTAAAATATCTGACCAAACTAGAGCTAAAGTCATTTCCATACATGTCAAGGAAACATGTAAGTGCCTATAATTATTCACAGTCTTCTGGAGATGTTCTCAAATAGAGCAAAAAAAAAAATCTGCAAAAGAATTTAATTACAAATGATATCTTTGTGTCACCTAATATTGTTAAAATTAGTAAGATAATTTGAAAGTTAGTGCAGGCAATGTTGAGAGTCAACAACCAGATCTACAAATAGAAAAAATTACTCCACTCAACTGTAAACAGTAACAGTAAACTGTAAGGGACTCTTAGAAGCAAACTTACCAAGAAGACAAGGTGTGTGTCTAAAGAAAAAGGTAAAATTACATCTAATGATAATATGCAATATCTGAATAAGTGAAAAAAATACTATGTTCTTCAGAAAATTTAATATGAAAATGTGAGAAACATAAATTCAGTGTCATTTCAGTGAAAGTTCAGTTTGGACTTTGGTTTAACTGTGAACTTATCATGGACAAATGGATGCCCAAGTAGAGCAAAGTGAATTATAGGGAGTGGGGGAAGAGTATGTTGGAATAAGTTTTAGCAGTTATTAAAATATACGGCAGAGACACTGTAATAAAATAGAAAGGTGCTATGGTTAGTAGTAACCAAATAGATGACCAGAATGGAATATATTACATAATATATAATACATAATATATACATACATAATATAATGCATAATATATACACATAATATATAAACATTATATAATAACCTAATATATTATGTGATATTAGGTGCCTATTTAACTTGTTATCAGTTTGGGGGAAAATATCCTGATACTTTATGCAAAAACATATTCCAGATTATTTGAAGACTTAAATATGGGAAATAAAACCATAAAGGGGTCTAGCACAATAGTCTAGTGGTTAAATCCTCACTTTGCATGCACTGGCATCCCACATGGGTACTGGTTCATATCCCGGCTGCCCCACTTCCCATCTAGCTCCCTGACTGTGGCCTGAAAAAGTAGTAGAGAATGGCCCAAAGCTTTGGGACTCTGCACCTGCATGGGAGACCTAGAAGATGCTCCTGGTTCCTGGCTTTTGGCTTAAAGGCTCAGCTCTGGCTGTTGCAGCCACTTGGGGAATGAACCAGTGGACGGAACATCTTTCTGTCTGTCTCACCTTTTCTCTGTAAATCTTTCTGATGAAAATAAATAAGTCTTATATAAAATGAAACTAAAAAGCTTGGAAAAAATCTAAGAAATTATGCATAAAACCTAGCCATTGAAATGTTTCTATCCAATACAAAAGATGGAAAAGCTTTTATGAAGAAATGTGTCTCAGGGTTATGCATCATCATCATCAGAAAATTTCCTGACAAATAGTGAAAGTAATCTGTTAGAAAATTATTCAGAAGGTGGGACCATCTCCATATTCAGATTAATTCTTGGGGAAACCAGATCTATAAAGACTTTGCTTAAAGGTTATAGTGAAATGTTTTGAGTAAGACATTAGTTGATTAGTTATGTAATTTCTAATTAAGGAGATAGTTATCATTGAAAAATTCTTCTGTGTCTGTAGATATATTTATTCTGTGTTCCTTAATACTCAGTCTTCATTGAGCATTTATAAGCTGACTTTAAAGTAACTTCATTAAAGTAAACATTTTTGCCTGGTTTTTAAAGATGTATCTATTTGAAAGGCAGAACAACAAAAAGAGAAACAGAGACAGAGCTTTCCCGTTATTTGGTTCACTCCCCACAAATTGAGACAGGGCTAAGTCAGGTGGAAGCCAGGAGCCAGAAGCTGGGTCCAGATCTCCCTCTTGGGTGGCAGGGGCACAGGCAGTTGGGTCATCATCAGCTGCCTTTCCAGGAACAATAGGAGGGAGCTGAGTTGCAAGCAGAGGAGCCGGGGCTCGAACCCTCATCCCTGTGTGGGAAGCTGGCAGCGCTGCAACACAGCACTGGCTCCTTTCCTCCTCTTTATTTTCCTTGATTCTGGCTAACCCAGCGTCTGTGAGAGTGATGACCGAGGAGTACTGTGCCCGTGCTGCCATGGGGCGCCACTCAGGGGATGTACATGTACCTTTCTCTTGTCTCCAGGGTGAAAATGGAGGAGTGTGAAGCCATTCTTAGTGATATTATCCTTACGTTCTTTAGGTGTAACTTACCATGTTCTGGTATCTCAACTTCCCAGACTGCATCCTTACTTTGTTTTTGTTACACAATAGCTGACATATTTGCTCCAGAGATCCGAGTTTCCGTATATTCATCAAATAGAGCAATTCTCTCAAAGCAGTTCAGAGTGTAGGATTATAGAGCAACAAGCTAAAAATTATCCTTTGACAAAATCATATTTATAGGCCATACTTATCTGTATTCTTAATCTTACTGAACACTGATATATAAAGCGTGACCATTTTAAATGCCTCACTATATAATAGCAAATATTTTTACTCATTTGTGTTTTCCATGTAAATCCCTATCATTTATACATGTTTTATGCAGTCACAGTATTGTAGTAATTTGTCTTCTACTTCATCACTTAGTATATTTTATGTTTCTGCACCATCCATTTTTATCTTTTAGTGATTGTGTACAATTGCACACTATGGTTCCATTGCTTTTCCTTAATTATTTCTGTACCATTTTATGTTTAAGTCAATGTCTAGTTCCTTTTTTTTTTTTTAAGATTTGTTTATTCAATCAAATGATAGAGAGGGAGGGGGAAAGATAAAGAGAGATAGAGATCTTGCATCTGCTGGCTCACTCCCCAAGAGTCCACAGTGGTGAGGGCTGAACTAAACAAAGCCAGGAGCTTCTTCTTGGCCTCCCATGTGGGAACAGGGATCAAGCACTTGGGCCATCCTGCGCTGCTTTCCCAGGCACATTAGCAAGGAGCTGGGTTGGAAGTAGAGCAGCTGAGCCTCAAACCAGCACCCATGTGGAATGCTGGCACTGCATGTAGTGGCTTAACACACTATACCACAACACTATCCTCTCTCTTGTTATTGGAATTATTTGTATATATTTTCTGTAATCTTTTATTAAGCTAAACTTCTGTGAGTATGAATAACAGTTATATTAGTATATACTAATAATTAGTGTCATCAGCTGTGAGTAGTTGAGACTTTTTGATTTTCTGTTATTAGATGTATTTCCATCTTCAGTTTGTTTTACTTTAACTGGTATGTTTTTTAAGCTGTGTTGTTTATTCATATCCTTTTCCTGTTTATCTCCAAGTACCTTGGTAAGCTGTAATCTTGATAATCTGCTTAACTCCTTTCACAGTATGAGTCTTAGCTTTGTTATTTCTTATAAATTCCTTTCCTACTATTTCAATAGTTTTCATAATGTAAGAGCTTGTTTTTGTCCGTGTTTTTATTGTAATTTCTGGAGGATAACCCTTCATGTCCTATTTTTACATTATGTTTTTTGATTCTTTTGTTATTAAATTTTATAATCCTTAATTCATTTATCTGAAATTTGATTTGGCCTGAGGCATAACGGGAGACTGAAGAAAGCTTGTCTCCATGTTGTTGTCTGAATATGTGAAATGTTGAGTGATGTTTTCTGTCCATTACTGATGAGTTTGTCTGCCATTGGTTTATCACTTTTGTTCTAAAACATTGTGATGCTGAAATCTATTTCTTAGATTATCTACACTATTTTTGTTGGTCTACATTTCTCTTTTCTGTATTTTGTGTATTTAAATTGCTATTATATCATAGTGTGTTCTAATATCAAATGATAGAGTTCTCATAATATGTTGCATAATACTTTCAGTTAATTTGGGGAATGCAGATGATGAATATGGAATACATGCCCAACACCTGGTTTCGTTTTTCCGTTTGCTTGTCTCTAGCCTCGCTGGGTACCGCTACCTGGGAATATACCGATGTCTGCAGATACTATTTTGGTTCCTTTGGGCAGTGGTCAAGTCTCATCTTCTCCTTGGTGTCCCTCATTGGAGCCATGATAGTTTACTGGGTGCTTATGTCTAACTTCCTTTTTAATACTGGAAAGTTTATTTATAGTAAGTATTCCCTATCAGATGCTTTAAACACCATCACCTTCAAATATAGTTACGATTGTAATGTTTTCATGTCAGCCTTCAGATCTAGGAGTGGGATAAATAAAGCAAGGGAGAAAAAAGGAACACCATTGATCCTGGATAATGTACTTGATTCAGTTGGCTTTCTGTAGTTGTGATCTCAAAAATAATCTGCATGTTCATTTCCAAGTATTAATTCTTAAACAATAATCAAAATGTTTGATATTAAAACATTTCTGTGATTCAGATGTTTTGAACATAATTTCACAAAATTTTAGTACTGTCACTGAGAAGTATATAAATCATTGGTGTTTATTAGTAATGAATTTGATGCATAGACTCCAAAGAAAAGAAAAAATATCCAGTTAAAATTTCAACACATGATCTAAAACTAGGAAATAACAGAATAACATTTGTGCATCAAATGTATTTATATATTCCACAGTTGTAATGTACCCAAATCAAGCTTCTTGAGAGAGAATCTTAGAATTTCAAATCATTTTATAATATTTTTAATTTGGATAAAATTTATTTTCTATCAGATAAGATTATGTTTCTTTCCTGATAACTTAGACCTAAAGTTGTCCTTTGTGTAGCTGAATTTAAATAAATCCTATATATTCAAGATATAGATTTTTATGATAACCAAATTTTAAATAATTTTAAAATAATCACAAAAGCTAATTTCCCTTTTGAGTGGCAGGTGAGAAATTCTATTTTTATTTTAAACTCTTAACATTAGCATTTTAATTTCTTTTTTACTAAGCATTTTTATTGTGTAAAACATCAGGAAATATCTTAAATTACCAAAAAGATGTAGAAGCTGATAAACATATCAGTGTACTCACTAGCACAGGAGCTTTAATGTAAAGTCTTCACATTTTATCATGATTGCATTATTTCTGTTATTCTGCCTTTACTTTCTTAAGCGTTTTTATAAATAGGTGTTGGGCTTTATCAAGCATTTATTGGTGCCACTTGTTTAATCATGGTTTTTCCTCCATTAAATTAATGTGGTAAATTAAGTGTGCACATATTATCATTCCCAAAAGGGAGGAAAACCGTAGAAGATGAGGCCGGTAATGATGAGGTGGTCTTGGTTCAATATACCAAATGATATCATTATGTAATAGATATTAAAAGATTTTTATAAATAAGATCCTTTCTAGGGTGATAGTGTTAGCATCTCTGTGCTAAATTGTTTTCTTACCTTAATTTTTAGATTTTGTTCATCACATTAATGACACAGACACTATGCTAAAAACCAACAGTAATGACCTTGGTAAGTAATTTAAAATTAGCTTCTTTGTTCCCCACCTTGTTGAAAAAAGAATTTAAGGTAGAACTTATGATCATATTTTAAGTAAGTAATTAAATAAAATCATTATGCTCAGGACTACTTACTAATTGTAAAAGATTGTAAAAAGATTATTAACATGAAGGAATAATTAATGCATATCATGCAACTTACAGTTTTTTCTGTAGTAGGTATAATTTACCCATGAATAATTAATATTTTCAAGGACCTATATCATTGCTAACTGTATTACATGCCAAGTTCTCAATTTGTAAGCTTGGATTTATTAATTTTTAAATAAGTTTTATTTACTTGTAAGGCAGAGAGAGATTATTATCTTCTTGTTCGCTCCCCAGATCCCTGCAACAGCTAGGCTAGGCCCAGTCAGGAGCCAGGAACTCAGTCCTTGTCCCCAACATGGGTGGCAAAGACCTCATTACTAGAGCCGGATCCTGCTGCCTCCAGGGTGCACATCAATAGGACACTGGAATAAGGAATGGAACCTAGACTCAAGCTCAGTCCCTGGCAAATACAGTGGTACCTTCACCACTCTACCAAATACCCTCTCCTCTTAGTATGCTTGCTTCAGTATGTACAAGGCAGAGCTACAGAGGAGTTCTTGCATTTGCTGATTTACACTGCAAATGGCTGTGACAGCAGGCTGTATCAGGCTGAAACCAGGAGCCCAGAGCTCCATTCCAGTGGATATCAGGGACCCAAGTCCTTGGGCCATCTAGTGTTGTCTCCTGGACACATTAGCAGGAAGCTGGGTTAGAAGCAGAGTAACCAGGACTCAAACCACTTCAATATGAGTTGCTGGTGTTAGAAGTGGATAAACAAGCTGTGGAACAATACAGGCTTCAAGAGGGCAGTTCTAACATCTGTTTATTAAGCTTGCTATGTGTCATGAACTGTGCTGAGCTCTGGGTATGTAATAATAAACAGACAAAAGTATTCCTTTCATGAAGCATACATTCCAGTGTCTGCTACTCAGTGTCTTACTTTGTCCCTTAGTTAAACCTGATGAGCCAGTCTCATTAATACTAGAAAATAAAGGAGTGAGGTACCGGCCTTTATTCTTGGGGATGCACACATACATACTTCTGAATTAGAATTATTATGCTAAGATCTCTTGTACCGTGTTGCTTAGCAATGGACCAAATAGCATCATTGTCTTTAGATTAAAAAAAACTATTATAGCTATTTTAATACCAGTTAATGGAATTAGTTTATATCTAATAGAATTTCCTCTCCAATAAGGAACTGAGTCATAAACAATGCAAGTTTTAAGGTTGTTAATATCACTAAGGTCATAAATATAACTAGTGTTTTGGTGAACACCATCAGCAAAACCCATTTACTTTGCATGGTAGTATCTTATGTTGTTACCAGCACTTTGAAAAAATATATTGAAAGAGAGAAGACAGACAGATGGACAGAGCTTCTATCCGCTGAAAAACTCACCCAGTTTCCTGCAGCAGCCAGGTCTCATGGAGGCGAAAGCCCGGAGCTGGGGCTTCATTTTGCATCTCCCTCCTGGGTGGAAGGGACCAATGACTTGAGCCATCAGTGACTTTCTGCCTCCCACGGTGCACATTTGGAGGAAGCTGGAGTCAGGAGCAGAACTGGAACTGCATGCTAAGAATTCCAGTTTGGGACATGGGTGTCTTCACCACTAGGCTGAATGCCTACCCATATAGCAGCACTTCTTAATTTATCTTTACAATATTTATCTTCAACAAAATGGTAAACGCAATATGAAACTATCCATCTTAGTAAAATATAAAAAGAAAAAACTTACAGCTAACATTTTTAAATTCTTACTGCATTCGGGCATGGTTCTGAATGTTTTATGACAACTCTGTAAGGGACACAGTGTTAATTCCACTTTAGAAAGCATGGAAAGCATGGAGCAATTAGCTTGTCCAAAGATACCTAACTGTTAAGTGGTAGAGTTGAGATGTATTATTCATTTTACTTCCATTACCTGTGTTCTTATACATTGTAATTAACACAAGAAAATTTCAAGTTAATTTACTTCTGTCCAGAGCATAGAAGAAAAAAGTACATATTAAAATGCTGACTAAAAGAGAAAGAAAATGAAATGCTTAGCTTTGTAATATACAAAGTAATGGATAGGGGTGGGTGTTCAGCACAGTAGGTTTGGCTGCCGCTGGGACACCCATGTCTCATAGTGCCAGCTTGAGTCCTAGCTACTCTGCTGATCCAGCATTCTGCTAGTGTATCCTGGGAGGCAGCAGCTGATGCTGTTGGGCTCCTGCCACCCATGTTTGAGACCCAGATGGAGTTCCTGACTCCTGGCTTTACCCTAGCCTGGCCCAAGCTGCTGCAGGTACTTGGGGAAGATCTCTTTATGTGTGTTTCTGTGTGTCTGTCTCTCTTTCCTCCTTCTCTATCTCTGTCACTCTTCCAAATAGATAAAAATATATAAATATACATTTATATGGACATTTGATGAAATTAAAAATAAGACTGACAATTTTTCCTTTTTTTTTTTGACAAGTGATATGTATGCTAGCTGCTCACTGTATTTTCCATCAGTTTTACAAGTTCTTCACAAAGAGATGATTATTGTGAAATCATTGAGAATAGTATGTGTTCTGATAACACAAGAAGTTACCACTTGTTAAATGTTGAGAAAAATACATTTTACTGATTCCCCAGTTCCCTGGATGTCATCTGGATGCTTCAACTTCTATCAAGTGTGATAAACTTTCAGAATTATTTTACATTCCTAGGATTGAAAATTCAACGTTTTAATCAGTGGTTATGTTTTGGTCTTTCTATTTATTCTAGATCAGTAAATTTTGTTTATTGTTAGAAGAACCCTGCTGTTTTGCATTTGTTATGGGCTATAGTACAACTCACAGTTGCTGTGTGTATTATTTCTTGCAACTTTTTAAAGATTTATTCATTTTTATTGGAGCTTACAGAGAGAAAGAGAGATGAAGAGAAAGATGCTTCATCCGGTATTTCTTGCATTTTGTATAAATAAGACTACCATTCAGCTTATTATTTTTTCTCTGGCAGTGGAACCAAGGGATATTTTTGGCACTTTTTTTTAAGATTTTTTTTTTTTTTTTGGAAAGACAGATTTATAGAGAGAAGGAGAGATAGCAAAAGATCTTCCACCCACTAATTCACTCCCCGAATGACTACAATGGTCAGAGCTGTCTATTCAAGCCAACAGCTTCTTCCAGGTCTTTTGGGTGCAGGGTCCCAAGGCATTAAGCTATTCTCTGCTGCTTCCCAGACCACAGTCAAGGAGCTGTTTGGGAAGTGGAGCAGCTGGGACACAAACAATCGCCCATCTGGAATGGCAGTGTTTACAGGTGTAGAATTAGCCAACAGCACCATTGCACCTGCCCGAGTGGCACATTTTTAGTGTCTAGTAGAGGCTAAGGATATACTTCAACATTTCCTAAGGTGCTCTCACCATTTTTTTGGTTTGTTTTGCATGGAATATTTGTATTATACCTAAATACAATTCTCATTCCAAAGAGGTGAAACTTGGTCCTTATGTTAAAAGTTGAGATGGGTAGAGCATCAGTGTCTGGGGAGAGTCTTTGCAGTTTTCATTAACCTTGTACCTTCCTATTTGCAGTGATCTGTCCAAGTGCCAGGAATGGTGACCATCCTGACAACAACTCTATGATTTTCTACATCAATGACACGGAAGTCCAGCAATTTGAAAAGTGGTGGAATAAATCTAAGACAGTGCCCTTTTATCTGATAGGGCTCCTCTTGCCATTGCTCAATTTCAAATCTCCTTCATTTTTTTCAAAATTTAATATCCTAGGTAAGATGGGTCAGCAAATTGTGGCGCCTCTGTGTGGGGCAGAGTAGATGGGGGGTGTGTGGAAATAATGTCTGGCTTGACATAAGGTTACCGTCCAGGCCTACTCATCTGTGTTTCGTTTATTCACTCATAGGATTCCTTCTTGTCATTAGTAATTTTTTATGGAGTTTGGTACAGGAAAAAATGCAGGTGACTATTCAAACCCTGCCTCTCCTTTTACATTGTGATTTATTTGGTCTCCCCTTCTAACATTACTAAGCAACTTTGAGGAAGTAAAGTAATTTTAGGGGGAGAAATCCAAATAAATATTACAGAAATTCTTGATTTTAACGATTGAAACCATTAGAACTTAAAAGGGGAAGTTACAGAATACTTTGAAGAGTGTTATGCATGATTGTTGTCTGACTTTGAATCTGAGAGGTCATTCTGTGGCTCGTGGGTTTCTTTTGCTGTTTTCCTCTTCCTCAGTGATTTCCTGCCTTACAACACTATTGCTTCCTTAAAGAACAGACATCTTTCTAGGAGCCCTGTGTTTCAAAAATCTGTAAGAAATGATTGGTTTGGGTTTTAATTTTCATTTATTTGTTTTCCTTGCTTGAAAGGCAGGAAGAGAAACAGGTAGGTGATGTCTGTCCTCTGGTTTGGTTCCCAAATGTGTGCAACAGCAGGGACTGGGTCAGGCTGAAGCTGGGAGCCAGGAGTTCAGTCCGGGTCTCCCCACGTGAGTGGTGGAGATACAGCTACATGAACCATCTCCTGCTGCCTCCCAGAGCGCACTTCAACAGGAGGCAGAAGCAGGACTCAGACCCCAGCACTCCGACACAGGAGGCAGGTGTCCCAGGCAGCATCTTAACCATGGTGCCTGATGCCCACCCTTAAAGAAATGGTTTGATGCCACTTAAGATAACTAAAGGAACCCCTGGTGAAAGCCTAAATCTTGTTAACTAAAGCAGAAACAATAATATCATTCCTGAAGAGTTGATAATTCCAAATAAACCATAGAATTTCACCTCTCCCACTAGATCTGATCTTGTGTTAGGCAGTTTACAGTATAAAATACTTAGGTTACATCACATTAGAGAACCAGGAGATGTCTTTGGATATCTGTGAGACTGAAATAGGAGGTAAAGATAGTTCTCTGTGGCTTTTTGTCTCAGAGCAGGAGTCACTCTAAGCTGCCATAGACACACACAGACCAAAGAGTTATATAATCTTTGGCTCCTTGCGTTCATAGGTTCTGAATCAGCTAATCTCCAAACCCACAGTCAAGCTTATATAGCTCATTTGTGGTTTCCTGATTTCCTTGCCAACTTTCCAGTGCAGCAAATCTTTGAAAAGCGAATAAACTTACAGAACGCTTTGCTCAATTGGGCAAAACAGTCATGAGAGAGACCTCCAAACAGGTTGATTATTGCCCAGCCCCTTAAGGGTATTTTCTTTTCCCCCTTTCCTAGGTTCTTTTCCTTTCTTTTACAACTACAACTTCCCTAGAGGAATTAGCATCTAAAGGCTTTCCTAAAGTTGTTGACTTGATGGCAACTGGACACAATTCATTAAGTGAAATAATCGCTCCACACTGCCAAAAACAAAAAAAACCTCGGAAATAACTTGAGGATAAAACCAAATCTGAACACCAAGTTCACCTTTTTGTTTTTTTGTTTTTTTGTGTGTGTGTGTGTGTTTTTTTTTTTTTTGAGTGACAGGAGTTTCAGAGAGATGGGGAGACAGAGCTCTTCTGTCTGCGGGTTTACTCTCCCCCAAAAGACTGCAGCTATCAGGGCTGGGTCTAGCTGAGCCAGGAACCTCTTCCTAATTTTTCATTGAGATGCAGGGATCTCACTTGTTCTGTCCTCTGCTGCTTTTCCAGGCAAATAAACAGGAAGCTGGATCAGAAGTGAAACAACTGGGGCTTGATATGGGATGCCAGTGGCACAGTCGGTAGCTTACTCTGCTAAAACATGATGCCAGCCCCACTTAATATTTCTTATATATATTTTATATGGGGTTTGAGTTTTTGGCACAGCAGTAAGACACAACTCAGGTTGCCCATCAGAATGCCTGAGATTGTGTCCTGATTCCATCTCTAATTCCAGCTTCCTATTAATTCCAGGCCATATATACATAGCCTGAAGCTAATTCATTTTTTGTATTATGTATGTTTATTTTTTTAAGAATCACTTATTCTTATTTGTATGGCAGAGTTACAGAGAGAGGAGAGACAGACAGACTGATCCTGCATCTAGTAGTTCACTCCCCAGATGGCTATAATGGGCTGGTCTGAAGACAGGACCCAGGAATTTCTTCTGGGACTCCCACATGAGTGCAGGGGCCCAACCACTTGGACCATCCTTTGCTGCTTTCCCAGGCATGTTAGGGAGCTGGACCAAAAGTGGTGCAGCTGGGACCCAACCTGGTACCCATATGGGACACAGCACTGTAGACAGAGGCCTAACCTTAGCAGCGTGATGCCAACACAATACTTATTTTATCTTTCAGAGTTGGCTTTCTTGCTGTTTAATTTATTTGAGTTTGCAAAAAGAAATACCACACAAGCTCCCAGCTACTGGTTCACTCCCCAAATGTTTGCAACAATTGAGACCATAACCCCTTTACTTTTCATGGTATCTGTTCCTCTGTTGTAGTGACACAAGTTTGCCGTAGTTGGAAAATGTGTTACTGTTCATTGTTTTGCTCAGGAAATAGCTGATTGGATAGGCTATGCTGGTAATTTCATGGCTGTTTGCCTCAATGGATGTCAGCCATTGCCTCAGCCTAGGCTCACTCTGGCTCTTCCTTTCCTCTCTCAGTGGCCTTGACCTATCAGGTCCAGGCAGTGGTAGCATTTAATCAAACTGGGAGCATGAGCAGTTAAGCCTGGGCCCCAGAAGTAGGCTCTCTTCCTTTATTTGCTTATCTCATTTAGTGGGAGAGGCCTTTCCAAGCTAAGCCTAATACATGGTTTTGGTTTTGCTTTCTATAGTTCTCATAGCTTGATGATGATTCTTCTTTTTGTTGTTTAACATTTAGTTGAAAAACAGACACAGAGAGGGAAAGAGATCTTCCATCCACTGATTTACTCCCCAACTGAATACAGCCAGGTCTTGGCCGGGCTGAAGCCAGGAGCCAGGAATTCCATCCTTGTCTCCTGTGGGCATTGACAGTAGCCCGAGCACCTGGGTCATCCTCCACTGACTTCCCAGGTGCGGTAGCAGAAATCTGGATTGGAAGCAGGGTAGGTGCGACTCAAACCATTGCTCCAATCATAGAGTGCTGGCATGGGAAGTAGCTTAAGCTTCCGTGGCACAGCACTGGCCCCTTGTTTCTGTTGTTTAGATCCCAGATTTTTTTTGTTGGGTATAATCATTAAAAGTCAGTAATTTTCACTCTTTACTGAAAAAGTGGAAGCAAGGTTTTATTTTAAAATGGTATTCCAAAAACGATAAAATTTCTGATTTTTCTTTCCCACAGGCACAATATCTGTTCTGTATTTGATTTTCCTTGTCACATTCAAGGCTATTCGCTTGGGATTTCATTTGGAATTTCACTGGTTTGTGTCAACAGATTTTTTTGTACCAGGTGAGCTGTTTTTGCAAAGTAAAAGATTGATAAATAACAATAATGTGATTTTTAACATGTAGTTACTTGTTATTCTGATACAAGTAATGGTATTTTTATGCTAAACTTTTTATGATTGCTATTAAACTAGAAACAATGCTGTAGCGAAGATTGCTCTGGGTTTCTTGCAGTTAAAGTAATCAGAGGCCTTTTTATTTCTACTTGGGAATTTCAGTTCTTTTAAGGGGCAGTGCAAGTATCAAAAATTCCTTCTCCAGACTTTTCTGAAGACATACTACTTCTAGAATTTCAGATTTAGAACATGGCCAGTAATATATGTAGATAAATCTTGCCACTTAGAAACGTTGTTCAGATTAAGCAAAATGCTGGTTTCCTTTCCATCCCCCTTTTTAGGTTATGACTGTTACTTAGCCATTTCTTGTTTCATGTGAACTTGAGATACTTTGGAAATGATAAAAGCATCATGAAGCAGAAGTACAGTGAGTAGATTAGATTAGATTAGATTAGTTAGATTAGATTAGATGGGAATCCAAGGGGGGATAATTGTTATACTAATATCCTAAAAACAAACAAGGAGAAAATAGCTCCTAATTGCATTGTTGGTTTATAAAAGCTGCTTCCTTTTCTTTCTTTAACTGTCAGTTCAGACAGTTTGGAATTTGAAGCCTGCTTAGTATCTGGTGTTACTTTCTGAAATCTGTAATTGTCTGCTACCCCTCTTGTTATGACATGCCTAGATTTTCCAGATGTTTGAAGTTAATGGGCACATCATTGCAAGTTTCATGACTCCTTGTCTTCAGAACATTTGGCTATATCAGCTTTATTTTCTCATTTTCATTAGAAGTCCACAAAGACTGAAAAGTCAGTGTAACTTTAGGATAAAGAAAGTATTGAAAGTCAAAATGCAAGCTGGTTTCCAAGACTGCATTTAAAATTAGACAGTGATAAAAATGGCAACTTGAATTTTTCCACTGATAGATAAAAATAATCAAGGATAATGTTTTCTAAAATTAAGTCCATGGCATTTGGTAATAGCTTAGTGATAAAAGTTTCTGCTGGAGTGACCGTTGTGGCGCATGAGATTGCTTCCCATATCAGAGTATCGATTCATGTTCCAGTCGCTCCAGTTTCCATCCAGCTGCCCACACATATATATCTGTGTTTCTGTTTCTCTCTCATCAGACCAATTTTCAAATAAAAAGTTTCTGCTGTGATAATCCACTAGAGGTATATAAAAGGGGAAAAGTCAATAGTTATTTAGAAAATAGAAAATATTTAAAGAGGAAAGTAATTTATTTCACTTATATCTAAATAAGAGACTTGTACTTGTGTTAGTGTGTATTTTGCTTAAATTAGTTACTATGTTATGATGCGTTCCTCGAGAAAGAAAGAGAATGAAAGCATATGATTAAGTCTTCCTCACTAAAGGCTGATTAAAAATCAAAACTTTGGAGGTGTGACTCTCTACTGTCCCAGTGAGGACTCACATCAACTTTCAGTTGATCAAATCAGATTTCTGTGCCATGGCTCACTTCTGTAATTGAAAAAATAATACGAAAACCTCTACTGGTACTTTTCATCTAAGTTTTCTTGCTTTCTGAAGGACTTGACTTTCACAGTTTTCCCTTCTTTCTCCTGAATCATGGGCCAGTCTAAAAGGGGAAAACTCCTAAGAGCCCACTCTTCTAGTTATTGCCTCCCTGTAAAAACTTAGGAGTGCATATGTTTACTGTCTCCATATTTTCCCATTTTGCTTTGAATATATTCATCAGACTTTTGCCTCTGTCACTCCACTGTAACCAGTAAGTCCAGCTCTCACCCTTGGCAGCCTGCTAGCAGCCCTGGGGACATTTGGTCATTCCTTCTATCTTAAAAACACTTTGCTTGACTTCTAATACTTGTCCCACCCAGCACTCCACTTCCTAGCTCTGTTGAGTATTCTGTGTGACTGGCTGTTTCTTCTCAAATGCCTGGTCTCTTAAGTGAGGAGTCACGCAGGATTTTGTAATCAAGCCTCTTTTCTCTGTATCCCTATGCCATGAGCAGTATCATCTAATCATCTGAGTATATATGTATTATCCATATGGTGACTAGTTGTAATTTTACAGCTCTATTCCAGCTTTTTCACTGAAATCCATATCCACATATACCTGTTCCTTCTACGTCTCCACTGGAATTCCTGTGGAGTACTCAAACTTAAATTGGCAGAAAAATTCTTGTTTCTTTCCTTGTTCACTTCCTTCCACCAATCTGCTTACTCTCCTTACCCTTTTCCCATTCTCATCTTGGAGAATGCCAGTTTTCTAGTTGCTTGAGCCAAAAACAGTCATCCTGAGTGTTCATTTTCTCCACTTAACCACATTCAAACAGTCTACAGAACATCTCTGCAGATCGAGATTTTCTTACTGTTTGTACCAAAAGAATGATGTCAAGTTACTAATCTTTCACCCGGATTATTGTAATAGCCTCATAACAAGTCTTACTGTTTCTTGCATTATAATCTGTTCTCGACTGGGCAGGTTATTTCTTTCTTTTTCAACTGAATACATGGAGCTGGCCTTTGCCGTTGCATGTAAAAGCCACCTCCTGTAATGCCAGTATCCCATAAGGGCACCAATTGGAGAACCACCTGCTCCACTCCAGTCTAGCTCCCTGCTAAGGCATGGGAAAGCAGTGGAGTAAGTGCTTGGGCCTTGCACCTATATAGAGACCTGGGTGAACTCCTGGCTCCAGCCAGGCCCAGTCCCAACTATTATGGCCATTTGGGGAGTAAAGCAGAACATGGAAACCACTCTCTGTATAATTTTACATTTCAAATAAATAAATCTTTTTCAAGAAATAAGTAAAACAAAACCCACAAAAGCCTCTGATGGTTTTCCATCAAAATGAAGGTAAGTCTTTATCATAGTCATAGACCCTATATAATTTGCCTCCTCGAATTCTCAATGATTTCATCACCTCCTAATTTCCTTTCATTTAGTCCACTCCTCGCTGTCTTCTTTGCTGTTAGGGTAATATACCAAGCACACTCTTGTCCTGGAATCTTTGTACTTACTGTTCCATGTACATGAAATTCCCTTCTATTTTTCCCAGATGTCTGGATGGTTAGTATTACAGAGGTTTCCCTTGACTGTCTGCCCATCCCTACCTCTCCTTTTGTGCCTTATTTTTCCTTACAGTTTGTATCACTAATAGGTCTTATAAATAAGCAGCACTGGTTGTCTAAATATATTAAGTCCATAACTTTGATAACGAGTTGAAATACTGAGAGCTACCAAATTAATCTGATCTAGGTCCTCAAGCTTCAGAAACTAGCAGATAGTGATAGTTCAGATAGTAAGCAATACTTGTATAATTTTTTTACTTATCTGTCTTAGCTGAACTATTAATGCTGAGAAAAGGCATGTTCTTTGTCTTTATACTTGTGTATAACTGTTGTATCCACCAAGACCTATGATACTTTCTGGCACATAGTAAATGCTTTGTAAATAATTGCTGAATAAATACATATGTTTATCTTTGCTCCCTCCTAATTTTTATTACAGCAATCATAAAGAAATAAATGTAAAAACCAAGCACAAAGAGACTACGGAGAGAGAGCAATAGATTTTTTTAGAAGCTGCAAAACTGATAGTAAATAACTAACAAGAAAGCAAAGGTAGTAGATAACTAGCAAGAAAACGATAAAGGCCCATAGAGAGAAGGTCCAGCACGGATGGGGTGATTTGAAATGTACCGTCCTCGAAACTGAAACTGTCAGCATTTGGAGGCATGTGAGTAGTGGAGCAAGAGTGAGAGAGGAAGGGCTCACTGTGAGAAGTTGCTTGAAACTTTGTGTCAGGAATAATTAGTTGTGACACCTCCCCTTCCCCTTCTGGCCCGGATCCCAACCTATCAAGATTGGGAAGGAGCTGAATCAGTAAGGCTGCGAACTTGTGTACAACTGACCTAGCACAGGATTTGGAGTAAATATCTCAGTCTGAAAACTGAGATTCAGTGAAGAATAGGCTGGTGAGATCTCATGTCTTCCTCTCACCTCCTTCACCCCTGAAGTCTTTTTTTCTTTGTTTCTTGACCCATATGCTGATAATAATTCTGTTGTGAAGTAACTGACAAGGCCGTGAGGAAAGCCTGGCGTCTCTGATACTCAAATTTTCCCAAAGAAATGGTCAGGTACTTTGCTTATATCAGGCCATTCAAAAGGTCTACTAAGTATGCTTTTTAGTGATTCATTTTTTAAATATAAACAGGCAAGAATTACTAGATATTTAAGGAAGGCCTCAGATAAAAACGAAACAGTAACTAGAAAAAAAAAGAATTATAAAAGAGAATATAAAGGAAACTTCAAAAATGTTATCTTTGTGCCACCTCAGGAAAAAAAATGTTATGGTCTCAAAGTAATAAAAGAAAATGGTATATCCATGAAGCAGTATTTTTATACCAAGGATGAAGGAAAGAAGGGATTTGGCCTTCAATATAAATGTAATTGGAATTTAAAATTCAAAAAAAGTTTGGAAGATAAAACTAACCTCCCCAAAAGTCTAATAGAAAAACATAAATTGGTGGATGGTTGTAAAGAAGAAAGGAAGAAAAGGAAAAAGAAAAGAGAAGATGATGAGATAATTAGAGTATTAATTCAGGTGGCCCAGTACTAAACTAAAGTATTTTCTCAGTGGAGTATTAGCTAAATCCTAGCCTTGCATGCTCCGGAATCCCATGTGGGACCCAGCATGCAACCCAGCAGCTCCACATCCCATCCAGCTCCTTGCTTGTGGTTTGGGAAAGCAATAGAGGACGGCTGAATGTCTTAGGACTCTGAATCCATGTGGGAGACCCAGAGGAAGCTCCTGGCTTTGGATCGGCTCAGTTCCAGCCATTGCAGCCACTTGGGCAGTGAACCAGCAGATGGAGGATCTTGCTGTCTCTGTTTCCTCTCTGTGTAAGTCTGCCTTTCCAATAAAAATAAATTAAATCTTAAAAAAAAAGTATTTCCATAGAGA